ATGACACATGCGACACCTGATGTGAAGAGGGCATGTTGGGGTATGTTGAGGGGGATATGGAGTAGGCAGGCTGGGCAGTCTGTACACTCTGAGTACCTCAGCCAATGGGGAAAGGAGGAGGGAAATTAGGATAAAGAGGGGGCTGCGTCCCCCAGCAAAACTGAGAGACCCCACTGGGATATACACGTGGACTCTCCCTTTATTCGAATAAAGTTTTTTTGCAGGACTCCTCTGTCTCCTATTGGAACATTGACCTCTGGCAACAGCATTTTCCACACAGTTTTGTACCAAAAGAGAGATTTAGATTAGAGATAAGGAAAAACTGTTGACACTGAGGGTGGTGAGACACTGGCCCAGGCTGCCCAAGAGAGGTGGTCGATGCCCCAGCCCTGGAACCATTCCAGGTGAGGTTGGCTGGGACAACCTGCTCTAGTTGCAGATATCCCTGCTCCCTGCAGGGGGTGGACAAGACGACCTTTAAAGGTCCTTTCCAACTGCAAACATTCTATGAGTGTATATCAAATCCCAGGCTCTGGGTAGCTGCTGTTATTTCCTCACTGCTGCCAGACCCAGCGGGGCAGCGCCAGGCTCAGCCAGTGCTCCCAGTCCTCCCAGAGCACTCACAGCCCAGGCTGAGCAGTGGCACTGAACATGCTGCTCATACTCTGCACAGCAGAGGCCCCTGGGAACAAACAAGTCGATTACAAAGTGACATTCAAGCAAACTGGCTTTAAACTTTTTTATATTTACAACACAAACAGCACTGCTGCTTTTAAAGGATCTCTTTTTTTTTTTTTCCCCATATTTTTTAAGAGGGTGAAAGAATCTGTAAAAGCAAGTTTATTTTCTCACTAAAAAATGCCAGCCATGAAGGCTTTTCTTGTAAAAGAAGTTTTATAACTGAAAATAAGTTATATACAAGATTTTACTGACCAAAGAGTTCACAATCACCCGATTCACTACAAGATTACAAGAAAAGCTTTGCAGGTAACACCAGGACTGAAGGCAATGACTCTCCTGTCACGGGTCACCGAGCCCAAATCCTTTATTGGTGGAAAAGAACAACTGTGAAGCTTTCAGTCCATGTCCATCAGTATCGTCTATTCATCTTCTTGAACTTCTCATAGTGATAGTCATCTGTGGCTTTTTCATTGAGGGGACGCTTGCGGTTTGGAGGAGACCCTTCAAAAGAAAGGGAAGGGAAGATTATTTCCTGCCCTTTGCCAGGAGAGACTTCTCTAACCCCAGCACCTCCCCTGCACGGCCCTTTTCTATGGGAAAGGTCATTGCTGCAGCAGCCAGTGCTCCCCAGCTTGCACCCCTTGCTGTTCCCCCCTTCATCAAACCCCTGTCAGCCAGCTTTGGCAACACCTTTCAGATGTGACCTTCACTGCTCCACCCTTGGGCATCTCTGAAGACATCCACCACCCAGAGGCCTTCACGTGTGACCTAGCAGAGGTGCAGCAAGTGCAGGAGCCTCTCACAGACTTTGCTCAATTTCCCTCTTCTCCGGGTGCCCCAGGATAGTGGGAAGTAAGAAGAACTGGATCATTTCTGTGTGAGAGCCCTGAAGAGTTTCAAGTGTCTCTCTTAGGACATTGCAGACACTCACGCTCAGGTTCTGGCCTCTCTGTGTCCCCCACTCTCAGCGGACGGGGCTTTGGCTCCTCTTTGTTCCTCCGCACTGGTGCGTTTAGCTCCTCGTGGTAAACTGGAAGGAGAACAGATAAGGAATATTATTATCTGGAGCAGTGTTATTCAGAGGGACAACACACAAATCACCCCTGTAAGCACGGTGAGACCCAGCTGCCTTTCCTCCACATGGCTGTGGCATGAGAGGCTCTCCTGGAAAGTAACTCCCATCTCCTGTCCAAGGGTTTGTTTGCTTGACCACCCGTCTGCTTTGGCAGCCTACAGAATGGATTCTCTCCATTTTAAACCCTCCCTCAGAACGGCAGACAAGGCAAGCATCACCAGCACACGCTCAAGACACAACTTCCAAAGGAGAAGTCTTGAAATTTATGAGGTGGTGTCAGCTGGGAGCTCAAGAGCAGAAAGTCAAACCATGAGGAGTACGTCCCTCTCCTTGCTGATGGATGGAAGGAAAAGACTCAGCCAGATGCGGTCCATAGGAGCATCCCAGACAAAGGAGTCAGCTGCTTGTGCTGACACATGGACAAATTCCTCCTGCATCAGACTCTGCCCCAACTGAAACTGCTTTTCTTCAGCAGAGGAGAGAGCTGCACCTGGGTCAGGAGAGCTATGTGAGACTTACATCTGTTGTGCTGGACGTAGTTCACAGCCATGTTTGTGGGCACAAAGGACGTTTCGCTGTCTTTCTTTTTGTTCTGCTGCTCTGCCAGCAGCTTGGCCTTGGCCTCTTCAGTTGAGATGATGTTTTTGATTTTTGCACTAGAAATGAAACAGAAAAAACCATTCACTCATATTTAGGAAGGGCAGTAGGCATAGAAGTGCTCAGTGGCTGAATCTGGGGTAGTCATAGCACTGGATGTGTTTTCTGAGAGAGGACGTGGTGCTATGGAAACAGACACTGTTTCCAAGGCAAAAGGGAAGTTCCCAGCTTTAGTGCCTCCTCTTCCACTGCAGGGCATAACTATTCCTCCAGAAATCTGCTAGGTTCAAGTCACGAAAATGAAGATCCTCTTCCCAGCAGTCACAGGGTGGAGCTGCACTGGAGCCCTGTCCCTGTGCAGCACACACTGCCCTAGAGCCCATGCTCATCCAGAACAAGGCTCAGTCCCATCACGGAGCCAAACCGGGGCTGCCTGACCCAGCCACAGCACTCCCCACCTCCACCAGCTCTCACCCTGGCAATGCAGGCCACCACCAACACATCTCTGAACTACATACTCAATGCCTAGGTCCACTTCAGGAATGCAGGTTGGAGAGCATCTCCTCAGTCTTCTTGGCAGAGGAGACGCGGATGTTCTCCGGCAGCTCGTACAGAGAGTCCTCAGCATTCTTAAGCTTCACCTTCTGCTCCTCGTTCTCCACAATTCCCTTTCTCTTCTTCAGCTCAGTCTCAATGTACTTCATCCTAAACAGCAGCACACAAGGGACACATGGTATTTAATTCTGTTTTCTGCACTGCTGGGCACAGCTGCATCACTGTCCTGAGAACGAGGAGAGAGGAATGAATAATTTCTCCAAAACTTCTCAGCTAATGTCAATTGCAAGAAGCAATTGTCCAGGAACTCATCAGATCCTCCAGGCTCTGTCACAACCAGCAGCAAAGGCTTCCCCTCCCCTGGTTCATGCCACCACGCTGCCTGGCTGGCTGGCACCTCCTGTCTTTGTCCATGGAAAACCCTTCTCAAGTCTGGCAGCCAGGAGGTGAAAGAGCAAGTGAAATTTTCAATGAAAACTGTGAAGATGTTCTGGGACTACTCAGAATCCAAGACAGAAAAAAATAAATGGTGAGAGGACACCCAACCCCAAACTCAACATCCCAGAGACAACACAGCACAACTTACATGTCAGCATCTTCATCCCGCCTGTTGGTTTCTGCTGAGAAGGAAGTTCCCAAGTTTAGATCTTCCTCTTCACTAATCCTAAATGGAAACCACAATGTTAGAAAAAAGCCTTTTTTTTTTTTTAGATATTTTGTGTGTGTTCTGATTTTTTTTTTAACTATTTTGACAAATTAGAGTTAACAGCAACTGGCCAAACTGCATTATCTTGAACTCTTCAAAGCAACACAACATCTGGTTCCTTCATTCTCCCTGGCAGTCCAGGGAGAGATCTTCAGAGCTCACATGCACCCACCTGTCCTTGCCTCTTTCTTTCAGCTTCTTCATGTCCACCATTCCCCCAGATTTTATCTTAAATGGGTCATCCTGTAAAATAAAAAATCATGAGAAACTCTGAATTTTCCCTCTAGTTTAATGCTTGAACCTTTTGAGCTGTGACTCCAGCCCCAGCCCCGCCCGACTCGCACAGTGATGGGCTGGACCACAGTGACACTTTCACACCATCCCATCCTAGCCCTGAGGTCACCAAAGCACCTGGCACTTACCACAAGAGTTGCTTCTTCTTGCAACTTCTCTCCCACAAGCAGAGCGACAGCACTAGTCAAGCAGATAAAGAAAGTAGATAAAATTAGGTGGAAGGAAACGTATTAGAACAATTCTGCATTTCTTTATCCTCCTCTAAATGTAGCAGGAGGTCTCACACGCTGTATTAACACTGACTTGGCAGCTTTCCTAATCCCCCCACAGGCAGAGGAACTGCTCCTGTTCTGGGGAGAAGTTCAGGCAAATTTTAGTGCCTTACAGCAAGTTGCCAAAATCAGGAACACTGTTCCTTGGTGGTGCACATTCCAACCAGTTCATTGGCGCTAGATGAGACGAGAATTAGGATGGAGGAGATGTAAAAGTGTCCAACTGAAACCACGTGTGTGGTACAGAAGTAAAATTACAGAATCATACAACTGTTTTGTTTGGGAAAGACCTTTCAGATCATCTAGTCCAACCCTTCCCCAGCACTGCCAGGTCCCCACTGACCCCTGTTCCCCAGCACATCTCCAGGGCTTGGAAACCCCTCCAGGGGTGGGGACTCCACCACTGCCCTGGGCAGCCTGGCACAGCCCTGGACAGAAGTAATTTGGTGAAAATATGGTTCATGGTAAATCCCAATTTAATCTTTTTCTTCCTGGCTGCAATACAGAACAGACTTTGCTTGCTGTGAACTGACACTGCCTGCACCAAACTGGCCCTTTTCCAGCCTCAGGCCTTAGAGCAGAAACTCCCCTGTCAACAGCGTGGGGGCTGCACTATCCAACACGTAACAGTGTCTGCTGGAAGAGCAGCATGGCAGGAGAGGAATTCCCTGTGACACCACCATCAGACAAAGCACAGCTCCACACCCTGCTGCTGCATCCCTTACCTCACCCCATTGGGTCGCTTTCTGAGGCTCTGAACTTCTTTGGCTTCCTCAACTTTTAACCTGAAGAAAAAACACTTGACTTAGTACTTGATGCTTTGGTTTTAATGAATTAACTTAATAAAGGAATGGATTCAGGCAGGAATAAGTTTGTTTTAATCAGTTAACTTAAGCTGACTTTCTGCAGTTAACAGGGACTCTTCTTGAAAGACTTTGCCCTACACTTCTGCATATTAGCATCCACTTTTCTGGTTACAGGTTAGGTAAATATTTTCTATTTTACTGCATTAAGCAGTTCCATTTCTTTAAGCAACCAGAAAAAAACCTACATGGCATCTGCTGGATATGTCCTTTCAAGAAGCTTTCCCTTAGCTGAGGAAGGCAGCGTCCAAATGCACTTTCAGAGGCTTTAATAAGAACCAGGAGGGGGAAAAATGAACCAAGGATCACTGGTATTAGTCCATTGAGATCTCCAGAGAATATTCTCCTCACAATAAAATAAACGGTCATTAATTAACACGAGTTACTGGGAGGCATCTTTACTCCTTCAACATTTCACTAAAGCCAGTAAAATGACACAGAGAAGAGGGAACTAGTGAAGCAAAATCAGCAGCAGCTCTCAAGTGACTGTAACAGGCTGAGTGGTTGTCAATGTATATCAGTGTACAAGTGACACAGAGAAAGTTTATGATAAATTTAAATATCAAACGTCCCTCTCTCTAGGCGGGAGCATGTTCTGGATTTGTTCAGCTATTACACGTGTTCTGTGCTACCTGCCATGAACTCTGCGCCCTAAAACATTCTGCAGAGAGAAAACCGTAACGAGACAGGTCCTGCTTGGACCGGGCCCGCTGTGACCGAGGGCTGCCCCGGGCGGTACCGACGGGTCCCGCTCCCGGCCGGTGCATCCCGTGGGCGGGCGGCCCA